AGGGTCTGTATACAACACACTTCACTACAAGCGTGAGGTCGTTCGTCTATCTCAGTAAGAAGAGTTAGAGATAATTGATATTGCTAGAAGGTATTAATTGTCAACCTTATACAATGAAATAAATGCTACTACCTCCGTCCCTTAAAACTTTGCCAAAATTGACCAGCACGGAAAATAATAAAGTAAAAACTGTGTGGTTGAGGTTTGTGCAGAGGAGAGAGAAATAACAGAAACCAGAAAATAATTGATTAAAAGGGAAAGTGGCAAAGTTTTTGGGGACGTTCCAAAAAGGAAAGATGACAAAGTTTTAAGGGACGGAGGGAGTACTATTTATACTACCAAGGGGTAGGTGATGTTGATGATGCGGAGGACTGTGAGTGACTAGCTTCCCAACCACCAAATCCATTGCATTGAATGCGCTTCCCGCCAATATCTTGGTTTTCCGCCAAATGGTCTGGATGAGCGTCCCCCGGATCTTGGGTCCTTGGTATAGTTAAGCACAAGGGAGGGGCTCCGCCCGACTCTTGTGAGTCGTCCTGCTGGAGGCCATGGAATGTCATTCGGCCTTTGTTGGGCCAAGGCCACTGAGGCCGAGCGTCTAGAGTTCTGGACGTGCGTCCGACCAGCAACTTCATCGGACCGTGCCCTAAATGGGCCTTGATGGTTTTCTTGTCAGGGGAGTAGGGTAACGGGGGTACATGGTGGGTGTGGGCTAAGGGGTATGGTCGGGGGTTGGGTGGTGTGGGCTAAGGGTAGAAAAGGGGTGGGATGGGGGGGTCGAGGTGTGGGTCGGGATAAGGCAGGGTAGGGGTAACAATAGGGTAAGGGCAAAGGGTAAAGATAAAGGTAAATTCGGAAACTGAAAAAGTTTAAGGTGCCGTTTAATTAATAAATGAGGTGGTATGCTTAGTTAGTGACACTTTAAACATTTTTTTCGGTTAGTAACCAGCTTGCGTGTTTACTTCACGTGTCTAAGTGTCTTACTAATCTAACTATGATTTTAGCAACGAAGTAAACACGTTGTTAATTATTTTGGCCGTAGATGTTACAGAGTACATAATGAGGGTGTTTGGCAAATGACTGTTAGCTGTCGGCTAATTGATGACATCGGATTCTGTTCGATATTTTAATTAATTGACAATAGTAACGGTTTGTAAACTGGACTTTGATAAAATGACTGTTTACAATCAACTGATAACTTGTTAAATGACTTTTGAGGAAATGAATTAATTTGATGTTAATGCTAGGCAGAACCGATCTTGTGAAAGCTATATAAAATAGTCTCTGTTTATGAATACTTATACACCTATAAAGTCATATGATCAAATACTCTCGTATTGTATCCATCCGTGATATTTCGCACATAAAAAAATAGTTTTGTATTTGAAGCATTAGATTGAAGTTAAATTATTATTATGCCATAAATTTGTATCTGGTTTTATGATTGGCTTTCATGCTCTCAACACACTGCCCCATAAAATAATCAACATGAAAACTGTGTGCTTAAGTTCCTAACTTCATCAATATAGTTATGTTGTTTAACTTTTTGAGTATATATAAACGTGTGTGTGAAACAGAATAATCCAAAAGCGTATTAATGTGTAGAAGAGGTATACAGCCAATCAGCCATATACCTGAGACTTTGGGAGGAGAAACGGATGTCGAACAAAGTGAAGGAGAAGGCTAGCTACAAAGTTGCTTTTTCTTTTGAGGAAGATATGGACGTGATGACAGGAAGAAGATGATCGAGGAGGCATCATGAACATGATAGGGATATCGGCTACATGTTTGAACGGCCAAAGCTTAAACACTAGGTTTATTGGCTTTTCTAATTTTAGCTGTTTCAGAGGAAAAACCATACACAAAAGCTAATTAACCAAACATCATCTTAGCTGATTAATCTGGTCAAATCAGCAGCAGCATCATTACCCCGTGCCGCAAAGGCTTCCACCTACGGTGGGATAAGAGGGGTCGGATGTACGCAGTCTTACCCACGTACTAAAGCACAGAGAGACTGTTTCTGAATGACCCATAGTGAAAATTGCGTCGAATAATACATGGACTGATTGCTGCTTCACAATAAAGAAGCGCAGACAATTTAGTGAGTCATTTTGCTTTATTCCATCATATTTTCAAACCAAAAAATAGTAATTTTTGACTCCATTGCAAATGATGGAAAATAGCTGATTAATCTGGTCAAATGCTTTTACTTTTTCGAAATTCTAAAAAGTTGTTGTTTTTAATGGAGCGCCATTTTTCTAACACATTTATTTGGCTGAGCTAATTATAAAAATAATGTGACCCAATAACATTTTGTGAAATTAAATAATATACTATGTATAATTAATCATAATAATTATCGCACCATAATAATTGTAAAATTTTGTAGTTTTGCATTTATTTTTAACGTGGCTATGAAAGAGAAAAACATAGCGCATATATAACACTATTTGCGTTCCAAAAACAACTTCCCACTTTCCGTCTTTGAATGTCCCAAATTAATTTTTCCATTTCCTTAAAAAGTAACTTTCCATATATACTGTTAACTTACATAGTACTTTTTACTTGATTTGACATAAAGTAGATATATTATTGGAAAATCAACTATCCACTATAACTTTTCACTAAATGTGCTCAGGTCAAAGTGAAAAGTTGTCATTTATTGAGCGAGCATTTCTAGGGCAACAACATTCACAATATATACATGATAGATATAAACTCACCAAACCAAATTAATTGGTTTCTTCTCTCTTGGTTTTCAAAGTCTTATACTCTCTCTATCTCATTTTGGTTGTCTTACTTTCCTTTCCGGATTGTCCTAAAATGGATATTATGTTTACATTTTTGGCAAAAAAAAATTGTGATTCATATCATTTCACTTCATTCTATTCAAACTCAACCACAACTTTTACTTTTCAATCACTTTATTAATAATCATGTCAAGTTGAAATGTGACAACCATTATAGGACAAATGTAGTATAATTTTAATTCATTTTTATCAATAATGTCAAACACTATAACTATATTTAAATATTTAAGTCAACATTATGGAGGAAATTTTACCAAAAAATGAAAAATCACTAAAATAAAGAGAAATAATATTCCACCCGTCCCGCTAAGGTTGTATCATCTTTCCTTTTCGTTACGTCGCACTAAAATTGGCTTATACCGAATTTGGTAAAATTGTATCGTTCTAAATCATTCCTACATTATTTTTACTTTATCAATTCAATATCAATCACATAAATTCATTTTTCTTAGTAATCGTGTCACTTCTTCGTGTCCCGTGTGTATGGATCGGAGAATGGAGATGCTCGAAGCGTGATTAGCTCTGGAGTAAGACAATCTCGGCAGCTCATAAATGTCTTCAGTTGAATTGCGAGATGTGCACATAACTTCAAGGTTCTAATATCTGCAATTACCAAAACGAAGAGTTACTTTATAAAAAAATAACGAAGAGTTTACTACCAAGGGATCGCTTTTTCAGGACTCGTTTTCAAGCTTGTCATTTTGTTCCCACCAACATGAATCTTTCACACTGCCATGTATAGTCCTAATCTTAATTGTTCCACCAAATTAAGGTCCCCAGCAGGACTTCAACATGTGACTTTCAAATGATAAGGCTCCTAAGGGCATCCTCATTCGGAGGATTATTATGAGATTAAATTGGTGACATGTCACTTTTTTCAGAAAATTATCATCGAGTGTCATAGATTTCTTAATGCGATTATTTGCTACAATAATCTGGGATCAAAATATGAATCCGGATTATTTTAAGATTATTTGAAAAGTATATGTAATAGAGATTAATGGAGGACATAAAAAAAACAGATTATTTGAAAATGATGATTGAGAGACATAAACGAATTTTGAGATTATTTTATAATTAATTACATAACAATATTTAAATGGTAAGAATCATAGAAAAAATTGATTATTAGAGATCATGAATGGAGATGCTCTAAAAGCTCTCCAAGTTAAGCAAAAGTTCAATATTACGAAGAGTAAGAGAATTAGGCACGTAAATAAATAAAGCTAACTTTTGTACTCTCCATCCCTTATAAGTTACGGAGTATAATGGGACAGAAGAGTGTGACACAACTTTTAAGAAAAAATTAGAATGTGTAGTTGATATTGAAGTGATAAAATTTGAAAAAGGTAAGAATGAATTGTAATCACTAAAATATTAGCAAATATGGTATCAGACAAACTTAATGAAACAGATGAAAAGAGTAAAATGGGACAAGGTTAGGGGACAAAAGGAGTATAACTTTATGGAGGATTCTATGGTACCTTAATTAAGGACCTTAAGGTATCACCATACTTTTGTTCACATTGACCAATCAAAATGTTACACTTGAATGATTTAAATATAAGTTAATAATGGTACAATGATTTGGATCAATCAAGTGAATGGTAGTTACAATACTTCATTTTTAAAATGGGTGCGGAAGTTCTCACCGAACTTTATTACTTTAGTATCTTACATTTTTTGTTGTCCCAAAAATTTTGCTATTTTTTCTTTTAATCAATTGTAGTTTCAATTATTTCTCTTTCCTCTACATAAAACATTAATCATACAATTTTTACTATATTATTCTCATGTCTTGGACAAACATGGCGATATTTTAAGGGGAAAATGAGGCTTAAGAAGATGAAATTGAGTGGATTATTTTAGGAGAGGATAATAACAACCATGCTCTGTGTACACATCATTTTTACACGCAGATCAAATTGTCAGTGTATCACCATTTTTTCATTTTGTGTAGGGAGTTATTTTGGGCACCGGCAATATTTTCTTTTGTAGTACATACAAAAAAATTTGTTTGTGCGAAAAGTAATTCTCTTCATAAAAAAGAAAAGAAATTGCTCGTACACAAATAATTCTAACGGACAAGTAAAATGACGTGTATAAAAAACTTGTCCAATCCGCATTTTCAGATAATAATTTCCCAAGATATAATGTTAAAAGTTGGTAGAGTACATATAATGAATGGGTATTTCTTTCAAAAGGCGTGGGGTAGCCTGTGGGCAGCCTTGTTTGAAATGAAAGAAAAAAATAAAATGGAGTTTCTTAACAATTCTAGAAGCCCATGACCACTCTTTCTTCCTCTCTACACTGTTACACGTTTGTTCTCTTTTTTCTTCTTCCCCCAAAAATTGATGGTTTCTTTTTCCTCCTCTTTGACCTTTCAATTCCATCAACCAATCTTCTCTGCCAACTGGTTGCCCATCATCATATATATTCCATCCTCCCTTTTCCATTCGAGAAAAGAAGAAGAAGACGCAGAGGAATAGTTATGGTCGTAGATGCACCAAATGGAAGAAACTAAGATCACCATAGCAGTCAAGAAACGCGTCGTTCACTCCTGTGTTTTCCTCTTCGGATTCTACTGCTGGGACTGGGAATTTCTCACAGCTCTGCTTCTCTTCAGTTGCTCTTTCTAGAATCCGAATCTTAGCCACTTTTATAGAATTCTCGTATCCTAGTTTAGCAGTACTCGTAGTTCTATTTCCGAGTTTAACACATAAAAAAGTCGTTCAGTGATTAGAGTTGACCGTGGGAGGATGTCGCAGAGGACGTCTCCGGCGCCATTTCTGGTGAAAACTTACCAGCTGGTGGACGATCCGACCACCAACGACGTGGTTTCGTGGAGCGACAGCGGCTCCACCTTCGTCGTTTGGAAAACTGCTGAATTCTCTAAGGATTTACTTCCTAAATATTTCAAGCATAACAACTTCTCCAGCTTCGTTCGCCAGCTCAACACCTATGTAAGCAAATCCGTCCTTCATGTTTTTAGTATTTGATTCCATCTATTTCAGATTGCTCAACATTATATTTTTCCTTGATAGTCACACTTAGATTTGTTTTTTTTTTATTTTGATTCATCACTTCTGGTATTATGACTAGTTCTTGATGTTCTGCAATTAGTTTCAAACATGTCTTTTTTTAATTATGACTAGCCTTGATTTGTTTTGGGGTGATAAGATGATGCTATTGTGTGATTCAAATCAAACATGATGTGTAGCATTCTACCAAGTGCATTGAGTTGAAAAGTCTATTTCCACTGCACGAATTAAGGATTACTTTCAACTTCAAAAATGACTAATTCCCATCTTAAGACAAAGACCCTAAGGTAGGTGGGGCAAGCAATTGCTGTTAATTACCCATCCCTTCAAACCCTTGTTTAGTTGAATCTTAAGACGGAGTATATGTTAGCCTGTTAGAGATGTTGCTAAATCTGTCCCGGCATACGTTTTATTTAAAGCACTCATGGTTTTTTGAGTGCCTTTGTTTGGTTTAGGGAAGAAATAATGACGATTGAAATGGGTGAGAAAGGGATGGAGAAAAAGAGAATCCGCATAGAAATAGGGTAGATTTTGTGTCTTATTTGGTAAGAGAGAAATGGGTTGAAATAGAGAATGAATACATCTCTCCATTTTCTCTCCATTAGAGAGAATAAATGAAAAGGAGGAAGGACCCACCACCACTTTCATTTCTCTCCTCCCCATTTCTCTTGACACCAAACAACAAAGTCTTTTCAAATTCTCTCTTAGTTCTTTCCCCTCTAATTTGTTTCTCTCATATGAACCAACTGTTAAGTTACAGAATATGTAATAGAAAGGTTGTAGGATGCATACCATTGAAGTTTGAACTGGAGTTTTATATATAAAAGTATAAAACATGTTGGGTAAGATTTATTAAACTGATATGGCTGCCAGGCTGAATCTGTTGAGTACTCTGAAAGCAAAAGGGTTTGTAAAATCCATTTTCAACAATGAGTCAAGAACTATTTATTCTTATTATTGTGCTTATTCTGGTGATGAAGTAAAATAAGACACTTCTGGCTATCAAACATGCTACTTCCTCCTCCCCATTTTATGTCTCCTACTTGAGATTACGAGTCTTGACTCTTGAGTGGTAGACCAGTATTAAAGTTGAGCCTTACTTGATAATATTTGAGTTAGTATTAATAATTAAAACTTAGTAATTTGAAAACTACACTTACAGTTCTATTGAACCACAAAAAACTGGATTGAAAATTTTAAAATTCAATACACAAAATTAGAGAAGAAATTGTAAATAGGTTTTCTGCATTAATAGTGAAAATGCAAACAAAATGGGACAGAGGGAGCATTATTTATGCTCAAGTGAGCACTTCTTGGGGGATCTTGTTAGTTAGAGTGGTTCGCTCTAATTAAATGCTCCTCATGTGTTGAACTTCAGGGGTTCAGAAAGACCATACCCGAGAAATGGGAATTTGCAAACGAGCATTTCAAAAGAGGAGAAAAAGAGCTGGTCATCAACATCAGGCGCCGGAAAGCCGTGACATCGGCTGCAGTCGGGAAAAAGAACGATGCCGCAGCTGATAACTCGCCATTGCCAGAGATCTCATCCGGTGAAGAGACGCCAGGGTCGAGTTCCACCTCATCACCCGACTCCAAGAACCCTGGGTCAGTGGAAACTCCTGGAAAATCACAACAGTTCTTGGAACTTACGGATGAGAATGAGAGGCTGAAGAGAGACAACCAAACACTTAGCTCTGAGTTGGCTCAGACCAAGAAGAAGTGTGATGAGCTGGCAGCTTTCCTATCTCAATACGTGAAGGTTGTACCTGAACCGATCATGAATCAAGCAATCTCTGCAGATATGAATTCATGTGAGGATGATGATGATGATGACGACGAAAAGGGAGAGACACTGAAGTTGTTTGGTGTTTTACTGAAAGAAAATAAGAGAAAAAGGGTTGGGGGTGAGAAATTTGCAGCCTCACATACAAAGGGAATGAAGAAATCTGTTGACTGCAGTGATCACTCTCAATGGATGAAATTCTCTCCTGCTCATGGGGAGAGTGGCAAAGTCTGTCATTAACAGACTGATATCAAGAGCAGATAAACTTCACAATGTGTTGGTGTGCCCTTTCTTTAATGTAACATTAAATACTCAGTACCTTAGGCTGGCTTTAAGGTTGTCGAATAATGTGTGTTCGTTCCCCTTGTGTCTATTCAGTGTGTACTAAGAGAACGTTTAACAAAATGGTGATTTTTACTTATTGTAGTATGTTATTGGAAGTGACTTTGAACATGTAATAATTGTTGCTACATAATAATTATGCAGTTAAATTAAAAAACTGTTCTTTTTTTTCTCGTTTTCGATATTCTGTCTAATCCCTTACTTCCTGTCTTCCTGATTACTAATTTCTATGTTTGTCACTGGCTGGCTGCATTGTTCGTCACTACACAAAAATTAGGGGATTGACAAATTTGAAAAATTCTAGCTAATCTTGTGTTTTTTTTGTAGTGCATGGTGTTCAATGGAAGTAAATGGTATGTTGAATGATGATAGCTAGGGTCTTACGGATAAGCAACAGATTCAAAATATGTTACAAACTGCTGGGACGCCACTAACATTGTTACAAAATACTTCCTCAGACTTTAATAGTTACAATATTGGTTTTTTTGCATTATTCACACTTCTTACTTTGATCATGATTTTTTACTAATATTATAATCAAATTATTATGTAAAAAATGTTAGTTAAATTTCTATTAATGTGGATTTCCAAAATATCAACTTTTAATTATAATATTTACTAATACTTAATTAATTATAATTATAGTAAGAGTTGTACGTTGACAAACGTGAAACTCAAAATGCTACAATTTTTAAAAAATTGAAGATAGTATGTGTTTATAATTACAACATCATATGCTTATAACGATTCAGGTGACTCTAAATTTTAGTGAATGGTCCCTTACCTTTACTAATTGTTTTATGCAAATTTCATTCAAACTTATTTAGACTTCCATCTTATTTACGGGGTAATTTATTAGAGAATCATCAAATGGGATACAAATTACAATGATGAAAGTGTAAAAATAGGACTGGTTTTTCTGTAAAAAAATTCAAAAAGTGTTTTTCACAAAAGTTGAATTTGATGTTTTCATTTGACAGTTTCTGCTTAATTAAATTAATTAAACACTTAAAAGGTAAAAGTCGGAAGCATACTGAGGGGTGTTAACTGCTTTTCACTTTTTCTATTACACAAAAAACACCCATGTTATCGAACATTATCAACTTTTACGTTTTGAGAAGCTCTTTTTTTCAAACACTAACTTTTACCATTTAGCATTTTTCCTAAATTAGATAATCATTTTTCTAAAGTAGAGCAATCACAAACAAGAGACCCAAAAGAAATTGTATTACGTATTAGATGTAGTATAGTTAATGTTGTACATACAAACTTATGCATTGCAGTTTTCTTTAATTCCTTTTGCAACGTACGCATCTGCATGCTTATTGTCGAATGATTAAAGCGAGTTTCTTATTTAAAGCGAGTAATTAATTAATGCATGCATTTTGAATCACTAGAAAATAAATAAGACTAAAGTATGAACACAGTGTATAAATAGAATCATCACTATTTAATTATTTCTCTCTGGAATGATATCCATTCACTAATAATTGTGAAAGTTAAATCATACTTTTAATAGGAATACTTGGAAAAAGTTTATTCAATGATGCAAATAATTAAGAAACTAACAAACCTTTTGAACTCATTATTATAAAATGGTATACATATACTACGTATATTTTAAAATGATATTGTGATGACAAAACAAAGTTCAAGTAACGTGATAAAAGTATATGAGGTCGTAATGTGGAAAATGAAAATATGAATACCTAATTTCAATGTTCTTTCTTAATTAAAATAACATTAGTGTAAATATACTAAGGTTATTACTACATTTATGAAAATGTAGTAAGTGAAAATTGAATACAAAATTGATTTTATGAAAATTGATTCATAAAATTGAAAATGTAAATATATATTGATTCATTTTTATTTCAATTTTATGATTCACTTACGTGAATCAATATTATATATGTATTCAATTTTTGTAGTAATCATTTATGTATATGTATAGTAATCATAAAATTGATTCACTTTAGTATAGTGTGCACAACCTAAATGTAGTAATTGATTTTATGATTAATATACATAAATATATCTCAAAAATTTTAAAATACACACTAACAAGTACACACATTTTAGAAATTATATCTATAATGTATGAAAATAAGTTGACAATTGTATATATCAAATTCAAATGACTCTAATTTTATGTTAGATATTAAGGATTGTTAATAATAAAAAACACCATTTTTTGTGAAAGGAATAAAAAACACCATTAGATATATAGTTTATACTAGACATATAGTGAGTAGTTGATGCACACACACATACCGGATAGTTGATTTTGTTTATGGATAAACGAATATATATTTGATTATTCTGAGTCAAATACAACTTTTTTGTACTCGTACTTGAAAGATGTTTGAACAACTATTTATACTCGTATTTGAAAGAGTAAATTCCCTAAATAGGAGTAAAAAAGTTTTGAAATTCTAAAATAGGACTATCATGTTGTTTATTTCCTAAATATGAGTAAATTTCTGCCAAGTTTGCCATTACTAGTCTTTAAACATGACATTTTTTCCAAATTTGGCAGAATTGCTCCTATTTAGGGAATAAAAACATGAAAGCCATATTGTGGAATTTCAAAACATTTTTACTCCTATTTAGGGCAATTTCTATATTTGAAAAATGATGGAACAAAAATTCTGATTTGTATTTGTATTATATATATTTTTAGATTTAAATCATAATTTATGAATCTGAATCACAAATTACATTAAAATTATTTGTTTCGTTTTCAACTCTTACTTCTTATAATACTTCTGATTTATTACGTAAATGTACATATGGGGGCTACATTTAAAGGATATAGCTAGCTTTTAAAAGTTATTATAGTGTTATTACTACTATTATTACTATTATTATTAATATTATCACTATTATTAATCGAATATATTTGATAAACATTCGAATCGAATATACTGATATTTGTATTTGATTACAATTCGAAACAATTTAGTATTCTTGTTTGTATTTGTATTAGATTTTTTCGAATTCGAATCGTGTTATACAAATTCAGATCCTGAACTGAACATAAATTATTTGATTTCTATACAACCGGGACAAAAAAGAGTATAAATAGAGACTTATGAATATGTTATGCAAAAGCATCTTGTGAGCACATTTGAGAATGAACACAATCCAAGTACACCTTAAGATTAAGATAAAGTAGAGTAGAGACTATACAATAAGCTTAATTAAGAAGCCGTGTTTGCCATAGTGGTAGATGAAGTAGAGAAGAATGATACGGACATTACATTGTAGTCTTCATAACATTTTAGATGTTGACTTTCTAATCTATATTAAGTGACCCCATTATTGATTTTTAGGAGAAGAGAATCTTTATATTTAATCAATCAAATGATACAAATGTGATCCACTGCAATAGCAAATAATTAAAAGACGCCAAAACAACATTTATGTCCTACAAATGGCTTGCTAAACTATGTGGAGGCTTTAGATCAAGCCTCTCTCTCTATATATATATAAACTATGATAAATTACGTGTTTAATTGCGCATCTCATATTCTCATGTTCATAGCTAAAAATGACATTTACAAACAAAGTTAGAAATTATAAATTTTGTTAAAACCCAAAAGCCAAATTAGAAATAAAAGTGTTATATATATGTAAGAATAATTACTATGAAGTTCCGAAAATACTCTCACCATATATTATCATGTTTAAACTTTAAGGTCTTGTAGTTAAGCCAAAATATGATTGTAAACTCTCCACATACTAATAACATACTCATATTCGGGCCGGGAAATTCAACGTCAGCTATTATTTTAAAATTCTCAAACGTTTTAATTAACTTATATGTCAAAAAGTTCTATAAATTAATGCTCCAAACTCACAGAAAATAATTGCGTGGACAAAAAATCGAAGTGCAATCATTTTGAGATGGAGGTAAAAACTGCATTTTTATCCAAACTATTTTCAATACACGATCTCATTAATTAAGTCATATTTTTATTTTCAGCCGACATCGTCGGCAGACCAAAAAGTCACCAGGAAAAAGTTTTTAAAAAACTACCACTATAAAAAGTCACACGAATTTTTACTTCCGTAAAAATCTTCATAAAATAAAGAAAAGGAAGTCGGGAATAAAGAGTCGTTGGCCATCGCTACAAATCCGTCTCACCTGTGTTTGCTATTTAAAAAAAGTTATTTTTAAAGTGATTTTGGAAAAAAATGTTTAATAGTAATAGTTGTAGTGTTTGAGAAAAAATACATCTGAAAATGTAAAAGTGGATAGTGTTTGAAAAAAAAGTAGAAAAAGTGAAAAGCACCTTTAACATGCTTCTAGCTTTTAGCTTTTAAGTGCTTTATTTAAGCATCAGTTATTTGAAAACACTAATTCCAACTTTTTTAAAGCTAAAAGCTGAAAAACACTTTTTTAATGGGAAATTACCCAAAATAGGAGTAAATGAGGTTTGGAATTCCAAACTGGGACTACTATGTTTTTCTTCCCGAAATAGGAGTTGTTACTACCATGTATGAAAAATACTGTCATAATTGAAAAATACTGTCATTAATTATAATTAATATCGTCATGTTAAATGCGTTGTACTGTAACTATTTGGCAGTCATGCCTACAAGATGACAGTAAATTCTGCCATGTTAGTCCTATTTTGAGAATAAAAAAATAGTAGTCCCATTTTAGAATTCCAAAGTCCACTTACTCCTATTTTGGGAAATCTCCCTTTTTTAATTTGTTACAATCACTCCCTTATACACAAATGAGTTCAGTGAGTAAATTATTCTATATGTACTGCTATCTAAATGACTAATGACGTGTTTACTTTGCTGCTAAAGTCACAGTTAGGTTAGTAAGACAGGTAAAATAAACACGCAAACTGCTTAAAAAGCCGTTTACTAATCGAAAGAAGTGCTTAAACTACCACTCACTATGCATACCACCCCATGTATTAATTAAGTCACACTTTAGGCTTTTCCAGTTTCCGAATTGACCCTTACCCGTAGGCCCAACACGCAACCTAAGGGTCTCGAGTGGAAGATAAGATGAAACAGATGACGAAACAAGCAAAAAAGGCCCTATAAGAAATCTCAATATAATCTTGTTGTTATAAGGCGTGAGGCCATTCGTGAATTTGCTATGCTACGAGCTGCTATGAATGCTAGAATGCTAGGGTGCTAAGTTGCCAACCCTTTA